GGGATCAGCTGCTACATGCACTTGGTCCCCGTGGGGATTCCTCCGCGTTTTTCAGTTTTGTGGTGATACTTCCGCTATGGGTCCTCCTCAGTGATCACCAACAAAACAACACGCACGGCATAATGCCAAATACCTCACTTCACCGCAGAGAGCGCTGGACTCTCCCGGCGTGGACACACATCACAAAACCACCCGCACTGAATACACTGAACACATTGCCACGCGAGCCTCCATCCTCCATGTGTGACCCGCACACACTTCTAGGGTCGCTCTGTCTATTATGCAACAAACGCCGCGGCTCGAGAGTTTCCGAAACGTCGCAAAGATCATTTCTATCCAGCAAAAGGCGCAACGCAAATTGTACATTTCTAGAACGCGAAGTTCTGGCACTGAAATCGGCTCCTGTGAATGCGGCCGGATCGGTTCCGTATCACCGACTCGCCATATGAAACGAGGAAAAGTATATATTTATAGTTACGGGACGTCTGTATATAAATCACCATTTTGTGTCTCAAGGGAACGTGTCGGCTCGTGTATTGTACCCCCCGATGTCAGGGAGCGGGTCTGCCTGTACGCCGCCTTCGTACCGGGAAACTTTATTTTTTACACGCGGATTCTCCGCACATCGCGCCAGCTCACAGCCAACCAATCCGCGGACAAAGACTGTTACTTCATCCCTGGTCTGGGCAGCATGGAAGAGGATTTATTCAATAAGGAACAGCCAAGGAAGGGCGGTGATGTGCAAAGTGCAGCGACTGACGGGAACAAGACTTCACCGCGGCGCAGGGCGGAGCTATTACTGATCAATCTCAGAGTCAGTTGTGTCCATTTGTATATCTGTTATGGGGATATTTCCTGCGTGTTTGTTCTGCGCCCAGTATCAGATATGTCTTGCCATGTATTGTAAGGGGCGGGGGTGCAGCAATCCGGCTGTGGTGAAACTACAAATTCCTTCGTGCCGCTGCAGTGCATCATGGGACTTGTAGTTTCCCCACAGCTGGAGTGCCAAGGTTGCCTACCCCTGGTGTAGGGTATTTAATACCTCTTACAGAGATCACTGTACTCTCACTGACAATGCCTTTATCTCCAGGAGGACACCGCCATCTTTGTTCAGGCATCATCCAGGGGCACCTGGATCTACTTCCTGGACTGAGATGCTGGTTTACAGGTGATTACAATCGTGCAGTTACCTCCTGTGTTGACAAATGTCTAACGCAGATCAGTCCCTGCTGAAGCCTTTCACCTTGTGACTTGTTACAATGTTGCAGTCTGATCACTGGGGGAGGGGAGACTGAGGAAATGCTTCCTCCTGCCTGCAGCAGTCTGATCACTGGGGGAGGGGAGACTGAGGGAATGCTTCCTCCTGCATGTAGCAGACTGATCACTGGGGGAGGGGAGACTGAGGAAATGCTTCCTCCTGCCAGCAGCAGACTGATCCCTGGGGGAGGGGAGACTGCTGCAGGCGGGAGGAAGCATTGCCTCAGACTGATCACTGGGGGAGGGGAGACTGAGGAAATGCTTCCTTCTGCCTGCAGCAGACTGATGGCATCATCTCAGTCCAGATAAGGCCACTGATTGGACCTCTCGGACGGTTTTGGGTGGAGCTACTGTGGCCGGTCGGTCATTTATAGACGTATAATAAACTTTAATAGAATTGGATAATTGTTTTGAGCAGGGAATCCAAAAATCAATCACTTGTCCGGTCTGTACACAGAGGCCGCCTCATCGATAACGTGACCCGTATTGGCTCCTCCAGGACCCCGGTGATAACCTCCGTCATTCCCGATTGGTCGTCGCACTTTGTACATCGCAATATAATAAAACAATAAAGTCCGAATTGTATCATTTGAAGTTCTAAATCACAAAAATGCTTCCAGCTTCCGAATACCAACGGCGCGCCGCCCCCCAACCCCCACGAACCGACTCTATGCAACGCTCGAATTCCGTACACCAGACCGCAGAGGGACCCGTCTACGAGAGGCATTAATAATAATAATAGAACTCCCCCAAATTCTGTCTCTGTACATTTCGGGCCGATCGTGTATAAAATTCTGTCTGTTAATAATTGTTTTCGATCGGGGAAAAAAAAAAAAGAAGAGAAATCTTTCTCCTGTTTTATGCTGAGATGTAAATGTTCACATTGTATGATAGGACGCAGTGTATGATAGGACGCAGTGTATGATAGGACGCAGTGTACAGATTTGAGGAAATTGCTGCATTTTGATGAGAATTTTCTAGACTTTTTTTTAAAAAGAAAAAAAAACAGACGTTAGGAATTTGGGTATTCCCCCCCCCGGTTTTGGTTTAATTTTGTTTTATGAATTTGAACGCATGGTCAGCTCGGATCATGTCTCGCGTTAAGACGAACAAAAAACTTGATGATTGTACCAGTCTTAAATTATTACTGATTCAATAAAATTTTAGTTAAAAACAATTCCATTTCTTTTTAATGGGGCCAGAGGGGGGTGCAACTAGGGCAAGGCCTGCAATACACATGTAAGCTGGGGAAAAATTTGTCTCGGATGAGTTTATGAACATTCGTTGTGAATACCACAGAGAACCATATACAGATATTAATACTAAAGCTGAATCCCCCAGACCCGCATGGCATTCGGGTCTGGGAGCCATATATTACTAGAGCTGAGGTTCCCAGACATGAATGGCATTCAGGAGCTCCCCAATCCAATTAAAAAATGTCTGATCCTGAGTGACATTCGGGTCTGGGAGCCTCAGCTTTAGTATTATATGTATATACTTTATATGGCTCCCATGTTGCCGTAACGAAAATTCGTGTTCAGACCCGATAAGTTAGCCTTTGAATAAACGGCATGAGACGCATTTGGAGGCATTAAACTGAAAAACATATCTGATTGGCCAGAAAAGTCAGATGTCTGATTTCAGTTTAGTATATAAGGCCCATATACAGTATAGAAGACCCGTCTGCGGTATAGAAGACCCGTCTGCGGTATAGAAGGCCCGTCTGCGGTATAGAAGGCCCATCTGCGGTATAGAAGGCCCGTAGTATAGAAGGCCCGTCTGCGGTACAGAAGACCCGTCTGCGGTACAGAAGGCCCGTCTGCGGTACAGAAGGCCCGTCTGCGGTACAGAAGGCCCGTCTGCGGTACAGAAGGCCCGGTGTGTGTGTGTATGTTTGTGTGTGTGTTTAAGTCCAATCCGAATCTAGAAGAACCAAAGTACAAAACTCTCCATTATCTTTCAGCACTTCACTCCCCTACAGCTGATGTTCAGGGGGAGCCAATTATTGGACCGATCAATAAATAAACACTTCATGTGAATGAATGAATGGTCCA